TTATATGCGAAGCATCATGCCAAGTACCAAGAATGCAAAGATGAAGAATAAATGAGGCTGGGCATGGTGGCTCACGTCTGTAATCCCAGCACTTTGGGAGGCCAAGGCTGGCAGATCACTTGAGGTCAGGAGTTCGATACTAGCCTGGCCAACATGGTGAAACCCAGTCTCTACTAAAAATACAAAAATTAGCAACGCATGGTGGTGCATGCCTGTAATCCCAGCTACTCAGGAGGCTGAGGCATAAAAATTACCTGAACCCAGGAGGTGGAGTTTGCAGTGAGCTACGATCACGCCACTGCACTCCAGCCTGGGTAACAGAGGGAGATTCTGTCTCAAAAAAACAAAACCAAACAAAACAAACAAAAACAAGTAAATTATCCCTACCTTCAAGGAACCAGTGTAATAGGAAAAAAAAGACTTAAAACAGAGATGGGGAAGGAAGTAAAATTTAAAAAGCCAGGAAGAAGCATTAGCCCCAGAAAGTCATATTTCACTTGGCAAGAAGCCTCAAGAGTACTGGTACAGATTAAACGGCCTAGAAACTTGACCCATAGGCTTGTCATTTTGCTTGTCAGTTCTATAAAAGCAAGCAAGGCTATTCAATCTCAGTCTTTATTCCCTGCCCACCTCATTTGCTCCAGCCCATATCATGAGAACAAGTAAAATTCCCTTCTCTACCTCATCCTCCTTTAGAAGACTGGGAGAAAGGAACAACTTTCCTCCCAGAAAGCTTCTTGTTCCAAGGAACCTAACATGTCAATCCATAAAAAAATATAGATTTCATTGATAACAACTTGAGAATTCAGCAAAAGAGCTAGGGAATGTCAAGTATTCCCCTAACAGCAACCCAAGTTGAGGTCATTAGAATAGCTATCTGATCTCCAAGGAGCCTCTGAAGAACAGAAAGGAAAAAAAAAAATCTATGTTCAAGGAAGATGAACTTGAGTACATGATTTACTTAAATGGAAGCCTATAAGGATTATTCTTCCTTTCTTAGAATGTTCCCAATAAACCAGAAGAAAAGGAAAGAGAATCCAAATGATTATATAAATAAGTGATAGCATATTGGTAATAAAAATAGTGCTCTCAATTTCTTTAGCACATCCTTTCATGAAGATTAATGTGTTTTGCATGGTACCGGTACAAAAACAGACAGACCAATGGAAAGAATAGAAAACTCAAAAATAAAGCACACACTTAAAACAATCTTACCTTTGACAAGGCTGACAAAAACAAGCAATGGGAAAAGGACTCCCTGTTCAATAAATGGTGCTGGGATAACCGGCAAGCCATATGTAAAAGAATGAAACTGGACCCTTACCTTTCACTATATACAAAAATTAACTCAAGATGGATTAAAGATTTAGCTGGGCATGGTGGCACGTGCCTGTAATCCCAGCTACGCAGGAGGCTGGGGCAGGAGAATTGCCTGAACGCAAGAGGCGGAGGTTGCGGTGAGCCGAGATTACACCATTGCACTCCAGCCTGGGTAAAAAGAGTGAAACTCCGTCTCAAAAAAAAAAAAAAAAAAGAAAAGAAAAAAAGATGGATTAAAGATTTAAATATAAGACCTCAAATTATAAAAATCCTAGAAGAAAACCTAGGAAATATCCTTCTCAACATCAGCCTTGGCAAAGAATTCTTGGCCAAGTCCCCAAAAGAAATTGCAACAAAAACAAAAACTGACAATTAAACTAAAAAGCTTCTGCACAGCAAAAGAAACTATCAATAAACAGAAAACCTACAGAATGAGAAAAAAATATTCACAAACTATGCATCCCACAAAGGTCTAATATCCAGAATCTATAAGGAACTTAAATCAAGAAGCAAAAACCAAATAACCCCATTTAAAAATGGTCGAAGGACATGAACAGACACTTTGTCAAAAGATATACGAGTGGCCAAAAAACATATGAAAAAATGTTCATTATCACTCATCATCAGAGAAATGCAAATCAAAACCACAATAAGATACCATCTCATGCCAGTCAGAATAACTATTACTAAAAAGTCAAAAACAACAGATGCTGGCAAGGCTGCTGAGAAAAGAGGATGCTTATACACTGTTGGTGGGAATGTAAATTAGTTCAGCTACTGTGGAAATCAGTTTGGAGATTTCTCAAAGAACTTAAAACAGAAATAGCATTTGACTCGGCAATCCCATTCATTAGTGGGTATATACCCAAAGGAAAACACGTCATTCTCCCCATGTACTCATACATTCATCATTGAACTATTCACAGTAGCAAAGATATGGAATCAGCCTAGGTGTCATCAAGGTAGATTGGATAAAGAAAATATGGTACCTATATACCATGGAATACTATGCAGCCATAAAAAAGAATGAAATCATGTCCTTTGCAGCAACATGGATGGAGCTAGAGGCCATAATCCTAAGTGAATGTAGAAACAGAAAACCAAATACAACATGTTCTCACTTATAAGTGGGAGAGCTAAACATTGAGCATTCATGGACATGAATATGGGAGCAATAGACACTGTGGACTCCTAGAGGGGTGGGAGGAGGGGAGCAATGGGTCAAAAACTACCTATTGGGTACTATGCTTTTTATCTGGGTGCAATGTACTCATGTAACAAACCTGCACATGTACTCCCTCTATCTAAAAGTTGGAAGAAAAAGAAGATTAATGTGTTTTTCAAGTGATTATCTCAATCCACCTCAAAACACTTCTGAGATATTCAAAAAGTAGTAATCAGTTGGGTGTGGTGGCTCACACCTACAATCCCAACACTTTGGGAGGCCAAGGTGAGAGGATCACTTGAAGCTTGGAGTTCAAAGCCAGCCTAGTCAACATAGAAACCCTGTCTCTACAAAAGAAAAATTTTAAAATTACCTGGGCATGATAGCACATACCTGTAGTCCCAGCTACTGAGGAGGCTGAGGCAGGAGGACTGTTTGAGCCCAGAAGTTCAAGGCTACAGTGAGCCACGATGATGCCACTACACTCCAGCCTGAACAACAGAGTAAAATTCCATCTCAAAAAAAAAAAAAGACTGTAATCATTTTGACTTTTACACTTCCTAAGCATACTTTACAAAGAAGTATGACCTTTCAAAAATATAATCTATGAAAGATATTCTCCCTCTAGAAATATTTCTTTAAAAAAAATTTTTAAGTTCTAATTTTCATGGGTATATAATAGGTATATATATATTTTGGGGGCACATAAGATGTTTTGATACAGACATGCAATATTAAATAATCATATCATAGAGAATAGTTTATCCACCCCAATAAGCATTTATCCTTTGTGTCACAAATAATCCAATTATTTTAAATATTTTAAATTTAATTATATTTTAATTATTTTAAAATGCACAATTAAGTCATCATTGATTATAGTCACCCTGTTGTGCTATCAAATAGCAGGTCTTATTGTTTTGTACTCATTAACAATCGCCCCCTCTTCCCTCGGCCCCCCGCTAACCTTCCCAACCTCTGGTAACTATCCTTCTATTCTCTTTGTCCATGAGTTTAATTGTTTTAGTTTTAAGATTCCCACAAATAAGTGAGAACATGCAATGTTTGTCTTTCTGTGCCTGGATTACTTCACATAACATAATGATCTTCAGTTCCATTCATGTTATTGCAAATGACAGGATTTCATTCTTTTTTAGGGCTGAATAATACTCCATTGTGTATATGTACCACATTTTCTTTACCCATTCATCTGTTGATGGACACTTCAATTGCTTCAAAATCTTAGTACTCTAAACCAGTGCTGCAACAAACATAGGAGTACTGGTATTTATTTGATATACTGATTTCCTTTCTTTTGAGTATATACCAAGCAGTGGAATTGCTGGATCATATGGCAGCCCTATTTCTAGTTTTTTGAGGACCCTCCAAACTGTTCTCCACAGTGGTGTGCTAACTTATATCCCCATGAACAGTGTAGAAGGGTTCCCTTTCTCTGCATCCTCTCCAGCATTTGTTATTGTCTGCCTTTTGGATAAGCCATTGTTAACTGGGATGAAATGTTATCTCACTGTAGTTTTGATTTGCATTTCTCTGATGATCAATGACGTTGAGCACCTTTCCATATGCCTGTTTGCCATTTGTATGTCTTCTTTTGAGAAATATCTATGCAACTCTTTTGTCCATTTTTTGATGGGATTATTGGATGTTTTCCTATAGAGATGTTTGAGCTCCTTATATATTCTGTTATTAATCCCTTGTCAGATAGGTAGTTTGCAAATATTTTCTCCCATTCTGTGGGTTGTCTCTTTACTTTGTTGATTATAAATACTCGGCCAGGCATGGTGGCTCAAGCCTGTAATCCCAGCACTTTGGGAGGCCGAGGTGGGTGGACCACGAGGTCAACGGATCGAGACCATCCTGGTCAACATGGTGAAACCCCGTCTCTACTAAAAATACAAAAAATTAGCTGGGCATGGTGGTGCGTGCCTGTAATCCCAGCTACTCAGGAGGCTGAGGCAGGAGAATTGCCTGAACCCAGGAGGCGGAGGGTGCAGTGAGCTGAGATCGCGTCATTGCACTCCAGCCTGGGTAACAAGAGCGAAACTCTGTCTAAAAAAACAAAAAAAAAAAAAAAAAACAAGAAATACTCTTTAAGTGGCTGGCACAGAATCCTGTAGAAAGAAAACTGCAGAGGAATATTATCTTAAACAATTCCATGAGAAAAGCCAGCCATGAAAAAAACAGGCCAGATGAACACCAACTAAGGGAAATTCAGGTGAATATTTTGAGTAAAGGAGAAAGTTACAAACTGTAAGAGGAACCTAAAAAAACAGATCTAATAGATCAAACAAGCCATTGTTAAGCAACTGTAGACATAACCATTCATGAGACATCACTGAACAAAACTAGCTGCACCAAAGGCATGCTCCAAAACATGTTTGGGCAGTCCATGACCAAAACTCAGTATTGTCCTGCTCTATATCTTCAAGTATCCCGCCTGCTTTCAAGTGCCTCCTCTGGGTTCACTGTATTAGTAAAACATTCATGTACTTACTATTCAGTGAAGAACCTGGCAATGCCATATTGGCTAATATCTTCCCTGTTCTCTAGCAGCTGGCACACTGCATCCTCCATGTAGGTGAGGACATGTCGCTGAGCTGCAATCAAATAGCAAGAGAGAAAGAGAAAATGAGAGAAAGGTTAAAAAAAGAATTCTCCCAATCCTAGTAGGAAGCAAAAGGCAATCCAGGTGTTGGCTCGGTCTGATGAAGTGGATTGGAATAGGCAATGCAAACTAGCTGGCACTAACTGAACTATGGTCTCAAAGGACAGATTGGCAGATGATGTGAACATGACCTATTGCCATTTGACTGGCTGCTAGTATTAGCATCAACCCTTCGTTCTTCATTTTAGTGACAGCGGTGGGCTGAAAAGGAGACTTAGCACCATTCAGCAAATATACCTGGAAGTTATTTTCTTTCTACCTCCTTCTATGCTTTTCTACTTCTGTGTCAGAAACTTACCCCAGGGAGTTAGTGATTCCACACTTGAAGCATGGATGGTCTGATTGTAAAGAAAACTCTAGACCGGGCACAGTGGCTCACACCTGTAATCCCAGCACGTTGGGAGGCCGAGGCAGGTGGATCACGAGGTCAAGAGATCGAGACCAGCCTGACCAACATGGTGAAACCCCATCTCTACTAAAAATACAAAAATTAGCTGGGCGTGGTACCCGCCTGTAATTCCAGCTACTCAGGAGGAGGCTGAGGCAGGAGGATTGCTTGAACCCAAGAGGCGGAGACTGCAGTGAGCAGAGATTGCGCCACTGCACTCCAGCCTGGGTGACAGAGTAAGACTCTGTCTCAAAAAAAAAAGTAAAGTAAAAGACAAAGAAAAAAAAACTCTGGCCGGGTGCGGTGGCTCATGCCTGTAATCCCAACACTTTGGAGGCTGAGGCAGGTGGATCACTTGAGGGCAGAGTTCGAGACCAGCCTGGCAACATGGTGAACCCTGTCTCTACTAATAATACAAAAATTAGCCAGACACAGTGACATATGCCTATAATCCCAGTTACTCAGGAAGCTGCAGCAGAAATTTTATTGAACCCAGGAGGTGGAGGTTGCAGTAAGCCGAGAATATGCCACTGTACTCCAGCCTGGCAACAGAGTCAGACTTCATCTCATAAAAGAAAAAAAGAAAACTAAGGTTTTTGTTTGTTTGTTTGTTTTTGAGACAAGAGTGGTCTCGCTCTGTTGCCCTGGCTGCAGTGCAATGATGCCATCTCAGCTCACTGCAACCTCCACTTCCCAGGTTGAAGCAATTCTACTGCCTCAGCCTCTCAAGTAGCTGGGACTACAGGCTCCTGCCACCATACCCGACTAATTTTTGTATTTTTGGTAGAGACGGGGTTTCACCATATTGGCCAGGCTGGTCTCAAACTCCTGTGATCCACCCACCTCAGCCTCCCAAAGTGCTTGGCTTACAGGTGTGAACCACTGCACCCAGCCTCCATTGTTTAATTTTTTTTTTAAGTCACTGGAAAAGTTTAAGGACAATGAAAATTTTAATACTGGTGTATTTTATTAACTTAGGTAAACAACAAGACCATGAAATCTGTGTGGCTCGGTGTGTTAGATATCATGTTTTCTGCATTTGTTGTGACTTGGAAATGTGTGAGTTAATCATGGGCATATAATAAAAAGTGTGAGTATTAGAGTGAGACAGACCTGAGTTTGAATCATGGCTCTATCGTTGGTAGCTTAATCTTGGATAGTTACTTAGTCTGCACGTCTTTTCTTTCTTTATCAAGTGTGGAAAGCAATATAATCTATGTTTCTCAAAATACAGTCAATCAATTTCTTGATCTGAATCCCTGGGATACCCTGTTTAAAATGCAGATTTATATTTGGCCAGGTGCAGTGGTTCACACCTGTAATCCCAGCACTTTGGGAGGCCAAAGTGGGCGGATCACAAGGTCAAGACATCAAGACCATCCTGGCCAACATGGTGAAACTCCGTCTCCACTAGAAATACAAAAATGAACATAGGCTTGGTGGTGTGCGCCTGTAGTCCCAGCTACTTGGGAGGCTGAGGCGGGAGAATCACTTGAACCTGGGAGGCGGAGACTGCAGTGATCTGAGATTGTGCCCCAGCCTGCGACAGAATGAGACTCTATCTCAAAAAAAAAAAAAAATGCAGATTTTTAGTCTAGCGCTGTCCCAAATTAAGTGACCTTAAATTTCTTACTGGAGCCAAGTAATTTTTAACAAGTACACCCCTGCCCCCCGCCAACCAATTGCTTCATATGTATTCTTAAATACACTGAGATACCATCTCATGCCATTAGAATGGCAATCATTAAAAAATCTAGAGATAACAGATGCTGGAGAGGATGTGGAGAAACAGGAACACTTTTACACAGTTGGTGGGAGTGTAAATTAGTTCAACCATTGTGGAAGACAGGGTGGCGATTCCTCAAGGACCTAGAAATAGAAATTCCATTTGACCCAGCAATTCCATTACTGGGTATACACCCAAAGGATTATAAATCATTCTCTTATAAAGACACATGCACATGAATGTTCACTGCAGCACTATTTACAATAGCAAAGACCTGGAACCAACCCAAATGCCCATTGATGATAGACTAGACAAGAAAAATGTGGCACATATACACCATGGAATACTACGCAGCCATAAAAAACAATGAGTTCATGTCCTTTGTAGGAACATGGATGAATCTGGAAACCATCATTCTCAGCAAACTGACACAAAACAGAAAATCAAACACCACATGTTCTCATTCATAGGCAGGTGTTGAACAATGAGAACACATGGACACAGGGAGGGAAGCATCACATACTGGGGTCTGTTGTGGGGGACTAGGGGAGGGACAGTGGGAGGTGGGGAGATAACATGGGGAGAAATGCCAGACTTAGGTGATAGGGAGATGGAGGCAGCAAACTACCTTGCCATGTATGTACCTATGTAACAATCTTGCATGATCTACACATGCACCCTAGAACCCAAAGTACAATTTAAAAAAAAAAAAAGATCACTGGTTAAGAACTTGGGCTTTTAGGCCAGGCGCGGTGGCTCACGCCTGTAATCCCAGCACTTTGGGAGGCTGAGGATCATGAGGTCAAGAGATCGAGACCATCCTGGTCAACATGGTGAAACCCTGTCTCTACTAAAAATACAAAAAATTAGCTGGGCATGGTGGTGCGTGCCTGTAATCCCAGCTACTCGGGAGGCTGAGGCAGGAGAATTGCCTGAACCCAGGAGGCGGAGGTTGCGATGAGCCAAGATCACGCCATTGCACTCCAGCCTGGGTAACAACAGCAAAACTCCGTCTCAAAAAAAAAAAAAAAAAGAACTTGGGCTTTGGACTTCAAAGAGTCAAGAGCTCCATTCTCAGTTCTGGGGCTTCCTAGTTATGTGACCATAAACAAATTACTCTTCAAGCCTATTTCTTCATGGTAAAATGGGGATAATTATGGTACTTACATTACAGGGTTATGAGAATTAAATAAGACAGTACAGGTAAGACACCACTATGTGCTTGGTACATAGTACGTGATTGATAATGTGTTTCCGTAAAAGCCTATCTCAAAATGTTATTGGGAGTTTACTTCAGCAAACAACATAGGCCAGAATTTCTTAGATGTCAGGTATTCAATAAATACTTCTTCCCCTTCTCTGAATTTGGTCCTTAGGTATGATAGTGGTATCCTGACAAACTTTACATAGAAACCTTCCAATTTGGTGTTCCCATTTACCATAAAAAATTCAGGAAAATACTTTCTTCTGGAGCAGTGAGAACAAAAAACCCAAAGCGATGAATATCTTTCCAAAAAGCAATTCCATGAAGTTGCTGCCAAAGTAGACCTTTGCCTCTTTCACAGTTTCATTCCTCAGGAAAATGTGAAACAATTACTTAAAATTTACAAAAAAAAAATCAGTGTTTTCAAAAACTATTTCTGAAGTCCTGGTAGTCTAGTGAGGCTCATAAAACAAGTAAGTTAATCTACCAAGCTGAGCTCAAGAGTCTTCACTTGACCATAACAACCACAGTGACCTAAGGTTTTACCACATTCCCAGCAGCCTAAAGTCCAGATGGATGACCTGTTTACATTCTGTGACTCCTTCTATCTAAATGAGTGCTTCCCAAAACAACTATCAACCACTGCACTGACTGCCCACCCCCTCCCCCACACAAAAAGAGGTGAAACAAAATCAATGCCTCAACTCAGCAGTTCAACCAACTAGAAAACTGTTTCTTTCTTTCTTTTTTTTTTTTTGAGATGCTATTTTGCTCTTGTTGCCCAGGCTGGAGTACAATGGCGCAATCTCAGCTCACCACAACCTCTGCCTACCAGGTTCAAGAGATTCTCTTGCCTCAGCCTCCAGAGTAGCCGAGATTACAGGCATGTGCCACCACGCCCATCTAACTTTATATTTTTAGTAGAGATGGGGTTTTTCCATGTCAGTCAGGCTGGTCTCAAACTCCCAACCCCAGGAGATCTGCCCGCTTCGGCCTCCCAAAGTGCTGGGATTACAGGCATGAGCCACCGTGCCTGGGCTAGAAAACTCTTTTTTTAAGAAATGGCTAAAACTGGGTGTGAACCTGTGAGATAATACCTGCCAATTTCTGGCATTGTTTTCAAAATGCGGTAATTATAATTAGGTGTACATTAAATTGGGAGGGGAAAAATGGCCAGAGAAACATTAAAATCAGCAGTGTTTTCACTTCTGTGTTCTCCTTCCTTTCTTCTACCGGCTTATCCTGATCTTACAAAATGATTCCTTCCTTGGGCTATGTGGCCTTTTATGACTTAGCTCTATCTAAGGCTAGAATAGGATTTTTTTTTTCTTTTTGATGGCAGAAATAAAAGAGTTCTACTTAGAAGTAAATCCTGCTGCTTCTCCTCCCTAGCTCCAGGGACTCAGAGTTAATGTGAAAGCCCTTTATAGGAGAAATATTTTCAGAGCAGTAAAAGTCAAAGTACTTCTGTCCTTCTAGAGAAAAAAAAAGGAAGAATTTTCTGGAAAATAAACTTTATACCAAAAATTTAAAAAAGAAAGAAAAATATTGGGCCATGCATGTTTAACATTTATCTGCCAGTCAGACATTTAGCTTAATATTACAAATAACAGC